TTTTCTTAATTATTCACAATGAATTTAATTTACTCCCAGGAACCCTCTGAGTACCTGGCAGTGCCTGCTTATCCTTCCATCTCCACACCCCTCTCATTCAACAAACCTTTTAATTTAATGGTTTCTATCTCATGTCCTAACACTTATAGACTTGATAGAGGAGGAGGGTTTTAAAATTAAATTACTGACTGCAATACAGAAGCCAAAAGCTTCCAAAATACACATCTCTGGCCATACAACTTTTAAAAAATTTATGACTGGAAACAGGAATTAAAATAAGACAGTCTAGGGGCGCCTGGGTGGCTCAGTCGTTAAGCATCTGCCTTCAGCTCAGGTCATGATCCCAGGGTCCTGGGATCGAGCCCCGCATCGGGCTCCCTGTTCCGCGGGAAGCCTGCTTCTCCCTCTCCCACTCCCTCTGTTTGTGTTCCCTCTCTCACTGTGTCTCTGTCAAATAAATAAATAAAATCTTAAAAATAAATACATAAAATTAAATTAAAATTAAATAAGGCAGTCTAAAATGATCTTAAAATCTGGGGGAACAAGCAGAAGTACAATAGGATTACAGATTTGATTATACATCTGAAAGTATACTTACAAATTTTAAACAATAATTGATGAATCTTGGGTCATTGTGGTATTTCTTCTTATCCAAAAATTCCTTCATTAAATGTTCTAATAATGTTGTCAAGTATTCCTTATTCTCAGGAAAGTTCTCTTCTACCCACTGCATGTAACTAGAAAAGTATGGCTAATATTAATTTTCATGGCAGCATATAGTTTGTTTAAAGGAAAAAAATAAACTAAATGCTAACCTTTCCCATTCACCAAGTGGGTCATCACCCTTGTAGCTCTGCATATGGGCTTCAAACATTCTAGAACGGAGAAAAATATGCACATGACTTATTAGGGATGATTCCTAAAAGCAAAGATATATTTTATTTTATGTTTCTCATTTACACACCTTAAAATGGAAATCTCAAATACCAGCTCAAAGGCTATATTAAAAATGGAAAGATTATTCACTTAGAAGTGGTCAGAAAACTCAGACGCAGTTATTTTTCCAGAAGAAAGCAAGACCCAAGCCCCTGAAGTTAGCCCTTATGTAAGAGGCAGCTGGAAGAGGGTCCCAGGCTCCATCCCTAAGAATCTCCTTCTCCTGTCACTGATGCCCAATGTCACTACCATCCTGAGGGGCAATGTCCACCAGTTGTTATTCCTCAAATGGTGGGACCCCTCCCCTTGCTGCTCGGAAGCTTGGCTGAGACTTGGCTGGGAGACCTGAAGGGGGCTTGTGAGTGGGCGTGGGAGAGCAGGATACCACCAGTCAGGTCTCCACATAGTTTGCTTTCTGGGCCTCAATGCAACACTGCGTCCCTGACAAAGAACACATAATGGCAATGTTCATAAATCAGCCACTATGGCTCCCTCTGCTTGCTGCTACTTCCGCATTCCCAAGCACAGCTTAAAAAAAAAAAAAAAAAAAAATCAGCCAAGTGAAGAAAAGTTCTTTAAGGGCGCTGAGGTGCTAGGGGAGCAAACGAACAAATAAACAAACAGAAACATGTGAAATAAAGTCAGGTGACATTCAGCACTTAGGGAAAAAAAAGCAAAACAAAACAAAATGGGAAATGAGGTAAGAGTGTGACAAGAGTTAACAATTTTTAGATAGAGTGGTCAGGGAAGGCCATTCTCCCTGAGGGGGTGACACTTGATCAGTGCCAGAGAGCCATGAAGCTATTTAAGTGTGCTGAGCTAGAAGGGTGGGGTGACAACATGTAATGTGCATTTAAAACATCCATTCTGGCCCTTCAAGCAAAGGGGACGGGGAATGGGAACAGAAGTGGGAAACCAGTTAGGGAGCTACAACAGTCCCAGGGGGTGGTGAGCTGGACCAGGGTGGGAACAGTGCAAGCAAGGAATTTGGGGTGTTTTGGAGAAAGAAACAATGGGACTTGCCTATGGGATTGCTTATGGGCATGAGAGAGTCAAGCTAAGAAAGACTTCAGGTTTTCTATCAGAGAGGTTACACAGATTACAGGATTTGAAAGCAATACTTTCTCCTGGCTATCTATCTGTATACCAATGAAATCAATGTTTCTTATGACTCAAAATCTAGAAGCCACAAAAGCTCAATAAAGTAAACTATTTATAAATAAAAAGCTTCTACATATCAAATAAACACAACATCAAGCAGAGTCAAAAGAGAAATGATAAATTGGTATAAAAAAGCAGAGCTTTTAGAAATTGGGGGGGGGAAACAATAAAAAAAAAGTAAAAGGCATTCCAAAGGAAAATACTCAATCAACCTCTTATAAGAGAAATTCACTCATTCAGATACAATTTCTCACCTACCAGACTGGCAAAACTAAGAAAATGTGGCAACAGTGTATAGATGAAGCAGTGGGAAACAGGCACTCTCACATCTTGCTTGCAGGTGAGAGTGCTCTGGATCCCTAAGGGAACTGGTAATATCTGCCAAAATTACAGATGGATCTACTTTTTTTTTAAATTAACATATAATGTATTATTTGTTTGAGGGGTACAGGTCTGTGATTCATCAATCTTACACAATTCACAGCGCTCACCATAGCACATACCCTCCCCAATGTCCCTCACCCAGCCACCCCATCCCTCCCTCCCCTCTCCACTCCAGCAACCCTCAGTTTGTTTCCTGAGATTGAGAGTCTCTTATGGTCTCTTTCCCTCTCTGGTTTTGTCTTGTTTCATTTTTTCCTCCCTTCTCCTATGATCCTGTCTTGTTTCTCAAATTCCTCATATCAGTGAGATCGTATGATAATTGTCTTTCTCTGATTGAGTTATTTCGCTTAGCATAATGCCCTCTAGTTTCATCCATGTCATTGCAAATGGCAAGATTTAATTTTTTCGATGGCTGCATAATATTCCAGTGTGTGTGTGTATACATCCATTCATCTGTTGATGGACATCTAGTCTCTTTCCATAGTTTGGCTATTGTGGACATTGCGGCTATAAACATCGGGAGGCACGTGACCCTTCGGATCACGACATTTGTATCTTTGGCATAAATATCCAGTAGTGCAATGGCTGGGTGGTAGGGTAGCTCTATTTTCAACTTTCTGAGGAAACTCCATGCTGTTTTAGATGGATCTACTTTTGATCTAGCAAATCCACTTCTGGGAATCTAGAAAACGTATATTTGTCTACGTGCCAAATGCCACACATACAAGATTTTTCACTGCAGCTCTATTTGCGAAAGACTGTCAATAACCCAAAGATCCATAAATAGGAGACTCTTTAGATTATGGTACATGAAATATGGAGTTGTAAAATAGATTGAGAAAGAGCTCTATACACTGATAAAGATCTCCACGGATACTGTTAAACAAAAAAAGCTACACTTTACAAGACATAAAGGCAGGAATTGTACATACATATACGTATACATCCATTGATAAACACACATATGTGCATGCCTATATAGACATACTAATGTAATATTACAATAGAAATATATCTGCAAAAATAAACATTTAAAAAATAAATTAGAAAAATGGTTCCATATCAGGGATTGGGAGAGTAGACAGGCACAATAAATCTCAGTGAATACTTTTTTAAAAACCAAATAAATGATTACTTATTTTTAAAAATGAAAAAGTAATTACTTCTAAATTTTAATTTCCTTCTCATGCCTCATAGGTGCTCCCCCAAAATATATGTAAACAGGCTGCCCCAAACAAACATTTCACATTCCAATAACAACCACATTTCCTAGTAAAATGGCCTGAATACACTTTGTAAATGAATACTAAAAACATCCAGTCCACTGGAGCAAATTAGTCTTTACAAAGTCAAAATAAGGTCAGAAATACCTGATTTCCCTTTTAAAATGGGGGAAAACAGGCTTCTAAAAGTGAAATAGTTTGCTGGCTAGAGAAGCCTTAAAGCAAACAGGTTTTTGCTTTGGCTGTACTTAAGGATCTTGGTCTTCTGATCCCCAAGAGAGTAAATTACCCTGGTGCTGATAAAACTAACCAGTTTTACTTCCTGTCACATATGACTGAACTGTTTTAAAATGCTTTTGAAACAATCTAGATAAATCACCTAAAGTCATAAAGCAAAGGTGTGGGAATGTAAGAAATCGTTAGCAGGTCAACCTAAATGACAATAAGCATATCTTTTTTGTTAAGTTCACGTTATTCCAAAAAAATAAAGTTCAGGTTATTCAAAGACTTTTTTTTCAAATCGATTGTGGGATTATGGGTAAGAGCTATTTTAAGTTCTCTCCCTACTGTAGATTTTTTTTTTTTTTAATTAAGTGGCTTTGAAAGTTTCTCATGAAACCTACACGCAAGGCTTAGGGTTTTTGTTAGGTTAGACTTTTTTCTCCCACGGCGACGATCTGCCCAGAGCGGATTCCTTACAGAGATGAACCGAGAGCTCCGAGGGCCTCACGATTGGCCAAATCCCCCTAAACTGCCACCGTGGTCGCAGCGGACAGCGCCAGCTACACGGTCGGGTGTCCTTTCCACGACCCACGAGTGGCCCACAGCCTGGCTGGGTAGGAGTGAGGGCGGGGAGGAAACACACCAAAGCCACGGAAAGGGGCGGGAGAGGCAAAAGGAGGCAGGACTGCGGCCGGCCCGGGCGGGGACCTGCAGACCCCGAATCCTAGGTACCCCAGCCCCCTCCTCGGTCCACAGCCGGAGCCTGCGCCCCCGCCTCGCCCCCACCCCACCAGACCGACACTTACTGAAAGACATTTTCCGGGTTATCCATGGCGAGAAGACGCGGGCCAACAGCAACCCAGCCGCGCCGCCGGCGAGAAGCCGCTACCGATTTGAATCTCCCGCGCAGCCGCACTCGGTGCAACGGGCGCCTGGCCATTGGCCTCGGCTGTAGACGGGCTGGCCAATCGCCGGGGCCGTTGCCGGGAGACATTTGTCCCGCCTTCCCCGGCTCACCGCTAGTTCCTCCCACTTGCCCCGCAGTCTTCAGTCAAACCGTAAGCTCCCGCCCGCTAAGTGCCGGCTGGATTTTTGAAGTACCGCGCGGAGAGGGAGCCCTAGAATTTTGGCTTAGTGACTACAATGTGAAGGCACGTCGGTAGACACTTCAGGGCTGGTTATGTAGATGATATATGGCATATGAAGATGATGGGTTAATACTCTTGCAGACTTCTGGGCTTGATTTAACTCATCTGAAAAGCTGTGTGGGTGCCCCAGAGCGGAGGAGGGCTCAAGGTCCTGGGGGCTGTTCCTACATCCAAATGGCAATTAAAATAAGAATGGAAGAGTTTGATAGATTGTAGAATGCCAACAAGGAAACTTTCAACATCTTCTGTGGAACTAGGAGCTCTGGAGACCCAAGTTCTCAGGAGTTATAAATGAAGAGACCTCTTTGTGAAGGAGTCCAGATGTCTGAGAAGAAATATGTAATATGCTGATGCTTCCTGCCTAAAAGTGAGTTGGAAAAGAATCAACCTAGTGTTCTCTGCCCCTTCGACTTTAATGACTTCCCATTCTACCTCTCCAGGCTGTTCCAAAAGTCACATAACAATGCAGTAAAATACAAAGAGTTATTAATGCGATTACCTTCCTTTTGCAGAAACTGTGTGGGTGTTTGATCTCTTAAGGCCCTTAAAAAATAGCAGCTTTTGGAAATCCTGATGCTCTCAGTCCAGGATTCCTTCCAGAGTGTTGACCAATTTGAATCTACACAAGAATCCGATTTGTAGTACTTAAACCAGAGAGGGTGCTCACTCTGAGGTCTTTAGACAAATGTTAGGTTTTGCTAACCATCACAGAAATTAACAGATTGTTGCACTCATTGAGGTTTTCAGCCTGTGTCTGATAGTGGCTCTGTCATCAATTAAGAAATGTTGATTGGGCATCCATCATATGCCAGATGTCACTGGATTTATATCTAATTACAGCCTTGTCTAACTCAAACAGATCCTTCCTTAAGAAGCTAGTGGCTTTGTCTGGGAGATGAAGATGCAGTCATAGAAAACTATTTAAAGGTGGTATACACATGTATTACATGCCATATTAATGTTCAGATTATCTGTTAGGAGATCCAGAGGATGGAGGGGAAATGGGGCCTGTCTGTCACATAAAACTTCATGAGGATGGTGGAACTTGAATTGGGCCTTGAAGGGGGTTGGATCTCTCCCTTACTATCTTAGCATTTTTTAAATAAGTGGCTTTGAAAGTTTCTCATGACACCTGCGCACAAGGTTTAGGTTTTTTGTTGGGTTAGACTTTTTTCTTCTGTAGTGGTGATCTGCCCAGGGCAGAATCTATTACAAAGAATAAAGAAGAGCTCTGGGGAATTATCCACATTAGCCATAGCCCAGTGGAGGAGGCCAGGGTGTCAGCGAAGAGTGCCAGCTACACGGCCTGGGATCCTTTCTTCCACTAAGGAGTGGCTCACAGCCTAGCTGGGGGTGGGGTGAGGTGGGGACAAACTCCAAAGCCAAGGGAAGGAGCAGAAGGGGCCAAAGGAGACAGGACTGGGGGAGAGCATGGAGGAGGTCATTCTTGGTATAAACTGAAGGATCACCCTGGAGAACTCCTGTTAATGAGTAGAGGAGGTTCTTTTTGAAAGACTGGTTTGATAGTTTGATGTCAAATCTTGAGTGCTAAATTAAGGAGTTTGTACTTCATCATGATAGTAATTGGGTCTTTGGGGAACAGCAGGTCTAGTTATGTGTAAAGTACACCTTTTCTGCTTCAGGGGCAGGAATGTGCAGTTACAACTTTCTCTTTCTTTAAAACTCTAATTTATCTGCTAATTTCATTATTAAATCACTATGTAAATTGACTAACAGATTCTCTAAATTTTTAGGAAGGCCAATAGATAAAGTCTTTTTATTTGGGTTTTCAGTGACTTGTTATTTCAGTATCATAATCTCCAAAGTTACTGGAGGAGGGACGGCAGGCCACATCAGGGGAGGAGCTCCAACTTCAACTTTCCCAAGGAGCAGCAAGTGGGCAAATGATTCAAACTTTTTTTTTTTTAAGAGGGGGTGGGGTGAAAGAGGGAGACGGACAGAGAGAATCTTAAGCAGGCATGGAGCCCAATGCAGGGCCCCATCTCACAACCCTGAGATCATGATCTGAGACGAAATCAACAGTCGGATGCTTAACCAACTCAGGTGCCCCATGACTCAAACTCTTAATCTGGCTATCAGTTTCCTGTAAAATGAAAAAAGAAATCTGCTTCCTTGTCTTTGTGTTTCTCTGACTTCCACTATCCTATAACCTCCTAAGGTTCTCCACTGAATTCCTGAACTCTCTTGGGTTGTCACATGATATCAAAGTTAGTGCTTGCTCTGTTCAGAAAAGAAAAATGATTATTTTTCTCTAGGTTCTGCCTATTTGACAAATGCAAGTAATAACAGATACACATATATCTTCCTTCCCCTGGGAATTTAGAGCAATTTATGGTAGCAGTATTAGATGTATTGCTGAAACATCATGTAAGATTGGAGATTTATAATTAGAATAGTTACGGAAAGCCGATGAGTATTTTAAGGGACTATGGAATATTAAGAATAAAGTTGATATGTAGGAAGGGAGATATTAGAACCTTATCTTAGAAAATGTTTTTGTTCTGAGGGTTGTGACTTCAGAAGATGCCTCTATGGTCAAAACCCAGATCCATTCTTGTGGATAAGAACTATACATATATTTTGTCTTTTGGATGAACCAAAGTATATTTCTCAAATATATTTGGTCTTCCTCTTCAAATTCTGTCTTACAGTTCGAAAAACCTTTGGAATTTCCTTGAGAAAATGAGAAGAATGGTAAAGGTATCTTTTGTTATGTTAATGAGGTGACTTTTGGAAAGCGCCTGAGGATGGGGCTGGTTGCCAGGAGAACCACCTATGTGATTAGAAGGTTGGAACTTTCAGTCCACTCCCCCCAACCACCCCCCCAACCTCAGGAGAGGAGAGGAGCTGAAGGTTGACATGGCCAATGGCTAAAGACAGTCAATCATGACTATGTAAGGAAGCCGCCATATAAAGCCAAGAGGGCAGCTTATTGGTCCTTTTTTGTCCAAAAAGCTTCCACACTTGGGGAACCAGAATGCTTCCATGTGTCACCAAACACCACCAAACTCCATGAGGACAGAAGCTCCTTTGTTTGGGATCTTGCCCTTTGTATCTCTTCATCTGGCTGTTGATTCATATCCTTTATCATATCCTTTAGTAAACTGGTAAATGTAAGTAAGTGTTTCCCTGAGTTCTGTGAGCTACTCTAGCAAAGTAATCAAATCCAAGGAGGAGGTGGTTGGAACCTCCATTCTGTAGCTAGTTGGTTAGAAGCACAGGTAACAGCCTGGGGCTTGGGACTGGTGTCTGAAGTTGGGGTGGGGGACAGTTTTGTGGGACTGAACCTTTAACTTGTGGAATCTGATGCCATGTCTGGGTAGATAGTGTCAGAATTAAGTTGAATTTTTGGATGCCCTGCTGGACACCCTGCTGATGTCTGGGACTTGCTTGGTGTTGTGGTGGAAGTAAGGGAGGGGGTGGTATCTCCCTTTGCCATGTTGGAATTGGATCCAGAAGCCTTAAAAATCCCCCATAAGACTATCTCTTTACTTCAGATGCCAGCCACAAGTTTCAGGGGTTCTCAGCCACCCACACTTATGACTGATTGGCTACGAATTCAGGGGTTCCCACAACCTTCTCCAGGTTTGATAATTCACAAGAATGACTCATAGAACTCAGGAAACTTACGATTACAGTTTTATTATAAAAGATACACATAGGGTGAAGTCAGGGAGAGTCCTGGGTTTGGCCTTTCCATGCCCTCCCTCCATGGAGTCAAGGTACATTATTTTCCTGGCACATCAATGTGTTAACCAACCAGGAATCTCCACTGAGCTTCAGTGTCCTGAGTTTTTACTAGAGTTTCATTATGCAAGAATGATTGATTAAATCATTGGCCGGTGTGTGTGAGTGAACTCAATTTCCAACCCACCCTCCTCTCTCTTGAGGTTGGGAAGACTGGCTGATATCCTGTGACTCCAAGCCCCAAACTTCTTTTTTTTTTTAAGATTTATTTTATTTGACAGAGAGAGACACAGCGAGAGAGGGAACACAAGTGGGGGAGTGGGAAAGGGAGAAGCAGGCTTCCTGCGGAGCAGGGAGCCCCAAGTGGGGCTCGATCCCAGGACCCTGGGATCATGACCTGAGCTGAAGGCAGACGCTTAACGACTGAGCCACCCAGGTGGCCCCAAGCCCCAAACTTCTAATCAATTGGTTCATCTTTCTGCTGAGCAGCACTCATCCTGAAGCTATCTGGAGAACCACCAGGAATCACCTCATTAGCATAACAAAAACTCCTATCACTTAGAAAGACTTCCAGGGGTTTTTGAAGATCTGCCAGGAACCTAGGTCAAAGACCAGATAATTTTTTTAGTATACCATGGGGTGATGTGCATCTTTGAGCATCAGCTCAGAATTTCATTAGCATTAATAGCTTCTGTACTTTATAACATCTGTACTTTCAGGACAGCAATTCTGTCCTCTTATGAAATTGGCAACCGGTTGGTATTCTTGCTCAGATTGGATTTGCTTCCATCCCTTCAAAGAGCTGGACACTTCCCAAACTAGAGAAAAGAGCTAAATCAAGGCTCAGACTTGGCGACTTGGAAACATCAGTTTTAGAGACAGTCCTGACAGATGTTTACATAGCTGAGCACTGATATAATTCTTGTCTGTGCATCAAAGTCTGAATTAGGTCCTTTAGCTTGTCCTTCTGGAGACAAAGGAATGGCACGAGGAAACTGAAGTGATACCATGAATAACCGATAGCCTGGTTTACCAGATGCTTAATTTCCCCACACATACGATGTTAAAATGATGAAGACAATTTAGGTGAGCCAGACTTTAACAGTTTACGAAGCAGGTAGTCTCCATTCTCAAGAGTCCAGAGAACTGGGAGGCATGCGAAGAAGTGGCAAGTTTTTATGCAAAATGAACAAGGAAGAGAAAAATTTTTTCAAAGGGACAAGGAAAACATTGGAGTTACTTGGTGATCAGGGATAGGTCTCCTGGACGGTGCGGCTTCTGGGCAGATGGAATCCTTATAAGCACTTGAAATTTTGAATGTTAGATTTGGGTTTGTGGATCTAATCTCCCTGAATTGATAATGCCTGGTCTACCGAGGGAAGTAATGTGATTAGACACACATTAACTTAAAGTGGCTGCTCACCCTCTGTCAGCATTTACCTAAGTTGTATTTCTGACTTATAAGGCTCTCTGCCTTGCCTGCTACTGTTGCAGTCACTGTTCCTACTGTCACTCTTCTATTGTCATCTTGTATCCTTACATCTTTGCTGTCCCTTTGCTTTTGCATGCTGATGTACTACACTACACTTTTGACTATGAGACGCTTGTTTCATTTAGTTAATACAACTGATTTGCCTTTCCATCTGTTGCACTTTGCAA